AAGAGGAGGAGGAGGAAGAAGGAAGAGGAAGAAGAGGAGGAGGAGGAGGAGAAGGGAAGGAGGGAGGGAGGAAAGGAGAGAAAGAGGGGGGAGAGGAAGAAAGAGGGAAGGTGGGAGGAAGGAAGATAGGGAGGGAGGGAGGAACAGGGAGGGGTGGGGAGGGAGGGAGGGAGGGGGAGGGAAGGAGAGGGAGTGGGGTAGGCATGATGGGACAGTGGGGGCGGGGTGGCGGTCGGGAGGGAGGGAGAGGATTCCAGGCAAATAACTGGCTGTGTGCCTTGGTTTTTTCCTTTACTGACCCCTTGTGGCTGAGATGCGGTGGTGCACATGGCTAGAACCTGCGCTGGACAAGAATTAATCACAGTCCCTTATTTACAGAAGTGAATTACTGCGGTTCATTAGAGAATGTACATGAACACGGACCGTTTCTCTTGTTTGCCACAGACATTTTATGACAATCTAGTTGTTCACGGTGAATTACTTCACATCCTTTCAGGGTGAGACAGCTTCATTTCCTGCAGTGCTGTTTGACTTGGACGCATGCCCACCACCTTTAGCCACAGCTTGGTTCCACAGGACATCATCATAACAGGTCCCAGTGGTCCAGAGGACTGATGGTCCTCATCTTCATTCATCCCAAATGCCTGCCCTGTGACCCCTCCCCCCATCTCCCTCCTGACCACCATTCTGAATCGAATTTACCATTTTGGCCACTCCAACCACACAGCCCTGTTCTCAGTCCCGAAAACGTGCCAAGCTGTCTTACCCAGGGCCTCTGGACATGCTGTTCCCTGCACTTGAAACATCCTTTCTTCTACTTGTAACAGGAATGGCTCCTTGTGCTTCAAGTCTCAAGAAAGAGGTCCACCCCCCTGTGATGAGTTAATGTCTCCCTTCGCTTTGTTGTTAGCCTGTTTCCTCTGACAGGAGCATTCCTGCTTGGTCACCATGTGGTCCTACTGCCTGGAAGGGAGCCCGCTGCCAGGAAGGAGCTTGGTGTAAATGTGTAGACAGAAGCAAGAGGCAGGTGACAGGGGTGGGTGAACCGATGTGAGGCTGTTGGCAAATTCTGTCATTTTAAAAATCCCTCCACCACGTTCCACTTCCCTGCATTTGCTTGTGCTCAGACAGAGATGGGGGCTTCTTGCAGACTGCTTTCTCTCCTCCTACTGTACTAAGGCAGTGTGTTTCTCCACCTCCCTTCTCCTCCCTCAGACATCGCCTGCTTATTCACCAGCCCCTCCCCTTTGCTCCCAGGTGCTACCCCTGAGAACCACACTAACCTGGGTATCTCCATCGCTGCCAATTTGCTCCTGTTGGGGAGGGGAGGAGTCTACTTGTCAGCTCCTATCCTGCATCTCTACTTGCTTCCGAGTCCCTCAACATCAATCTACCCAAAACCAGGGTCACAACCACCCTGCCACCATCTTCCTGATCATCCAGACTCCAAAATCAGGAGCACACCTGCCTGACGCCATCTTTCTAAGGGTCCACACCCAGGCTTTTGGGTACCTGATACCTGTCACCATCTCCCTAAGTATCCAGACCGATGTATGTGGGGTCTTTGCTTCTCAGGTGATGCATTAATAAGCAGGATGGTCCCCTGTTCCCAGCTGTCTTATAATCAAATGAGATCTCTCTTCTAAGACAACCACCTTGGAGCAAGCAAGATAATTACCCTGAATGTCTCTGCCTCTTCGCCCACCAGCCCGGCAATGGCTGACAGTGGCAAGACAGGCCCATAAATGAGATCCTTTTGCATAGAGGTAGGGAAAAGCACATCGGTTTCATTTAAGAACGTCCCGTCTTCTAGGGGTAGCTTTACCAACCTGCAGAGAAAGGACACATTGGGAAGAAATGGAGTAACAGATTCCATCAAACAGGTGGAGGTTCTGTGTATCAACAGGAGGTGGAGAGGAGGTGTTCTGCTGTAAAACACACACAAGAAGACAAGGGCCAAGCAACAGCTTTTAAAATACATGCCATAAAGTGACAAGTCATGTGTGGTTAAGAATTAAGGGCACGGGGATTCTTGAGAAGATTCAAAGTTAATGTGTGAAGCAGAAACCGCAAACTTCAATACTGTGGGGAGGTCTGGGGCAGCCTGTAACCAGCAGAAGAGCGTCCTCCTCTTGCAAAGGTGACAGGAAACACTGAGTTCTAGCCAGTGAGCTGCTGACCTGCAAGAGCTTTTAGTTCTAAAATACTATTTGGATATTTGTGAGAAACATCTCAAACTTGGAATGTTGGCAACTAAATCAAATAAAAAATATTGTGAACTGAAGAAAAAAAAACCACATCAATAATCGGAATCCAGCCACCTTTGCAATGTCTGGTGACAGAAAAACATACATCTTCAAATTTATCACTTATCAAGCTATAAAAGTGGGTTTGGGGGCAGGCGAGACAGAAACACTGAGATACCTTGGGCAGTGCCCAACCTAGAAGCAAGCAAGTAGGCGGTGGAGAGATGGGAGAGGAAGAGAAATGGAGCGGTTTATGTGCTATGACAAGAGGAGGAACTGAAGACATGATGACAGTGGGAACAGCCTGACATGACAGCCCTGAGACCACGGTGATGTCCAGGCCCCTGATGTCACTGAGAGACAAGTCTAGGTTTGTGGTCTGGTTGCAGCCTGAGTCAGTGATGTCAGTCGTCCATACAATCACTAAAGGGTATGAGGATGTCCAGGATTTGTAAATGCAGCCTGAAGCCATATTTTGTCACACTGAGATGGCTCTGCCCCCCACCAGCCATCACCTGTTGGCGTCAGTAGTCACATGGACTCAGGGGAATTAGCCCCACCTCACCAAGGGAGAGCTGTCACCTGGGGCAGTGCCGAAGCAGTGACTCCAGAGGCCTGGGCATAGGAGATCAGGAGAGCCCAGCCCCTCACCTGGTCAGTGGGAGAGCCAGCTCTGGTGGCATAGGTATGGGAAAGCTGGAGGGATGACCAACTCAACTACCACCCAGGCCCGGATCCAGGGCTTTGGATTGGCCTACCACCAGAATCTATGAATTACTGGAGCACATGAAGGGCCAGTCCTGTGGGTCGCCACCACTCAGGGAAGCAGCAGGATACCAGAGAGTCTATGAGGTTTATGTTGTAGAGGAAGCCAGAGGCCTTGAATTAGCTTAACGACTCATTGCATAGGACATTCTCAAGTAAAGCTGTTTGGGCAGAAGGGTATAGGACATGACACACTGCAACTTCCAACGCCATTTTGACTAACGCAAATATGATGGAGATGTGGGAAAGTCAGAGATGCAGAATGGAGTATGCACAGAGTGCTGTGCCTGATAGAGATGTTTTATTTCTTTTCTAATCTTTATTATTTTATTTACTTGGGCAGGGCGAGGCTACACAGGTGGAGGGCAGATATGGAAGGGCTGGGCAGTGAGTGGAGGTAGAGTAAGAAGTGAAGTTTGCAGTCAATAAAAAGTATGCTTAAAAGTATAAAAAATGTGAGTTTAGAGAATTCATGGCATTGAATCAGAGCTTGTGTTCTATGAAAGGTAAGACAGTTTTGGAGAATGGTCACAGAAGCAGGGTACACAGCCTGGAGGCATGGCTAAGTGCATCTAAGTCCTGAAAGTTCTCTCCGGTGTCTCTCGCTTTGTTTTCTACAGAAAAGCCACATCAACAATGTTCAGAAACATTTAGCAACAATGTTGCATTGGAACGTTCAAATGACTCAAAGGGAGGAAGGATGGTTGTGATAAAGCAGGTGCCTGTCTGGGTGTAGACCTGGGAGAGAGATCACCCACGCTGTTAAGAGAGTGTTGTGAACAGTCACTGGAGACAGATGTGTCTACCCCGGGCGCTTGTGAAAATGATCTTGAAGGGAAAAAAATGTGCTAATCAGAACTCTTAGATGCTTCTGGTTTGAACGGGTTGCCTGTTTTTCCCCTCCTTTTTTTTTTTTTTATTTCTTTCTGGCTTCACACATTACCTAAGGTGGGTTTTCAAAAGTTGCAATTTCAAGAGTATGTCTTTCCAACCTCTCTAGGTCTGCAGTGGAAACAGTCAACCCAGTGGCACTTTGGGGCTTTGAACTCTTTGCTACAGACATCCATTATCAACTATTTGTTCCAGAACTTCCCTTTGACAAGTTTCTTTTTTAAATGGGTAACTCCCGTGATGCTGCTCTGTGTGAACCCTGGCTTGGGCAACATGGCTGACTGTGTGCAGTGCTGTCTGCTTCCTAGATCTAACAGATTCTTGTTTTACAGACTTTATGAGAACAGCAGAGAAACAGGAGCAAAGGTCACTGGTGACCTTTGTATAGAGTAGTCACATTTAAGAACAGCAATTTGAGCAAATCAAATTTTGCAAAATTAAACATGTTGGAACAAGCTCTCAGAAGTCAAAGAGAAGCTGACAAGTGAGCAGCCACTCTAAGTCCATTACAGATGCAGAAAACTGTTATGACTTGCAGTAGGCTCTGTGTGTGTGTGTGTGTGGCTATGCTTGTGGATATCACATGAGGTCACTTAATTCATTAAAGTGGTCCAACAATGGCTGTGAACGCCAGTGAAGACCACCACATGGTTGTGGAACAACGAAGGCCCCTACCTGGTCCGGAAATGATGGTCCTGGTTACTCCTCTCAATGGTCCACACGCTCACTGCACTTGAACTTGACAAGCACATTTGGTGCCAGTTCATGGGGTTGAAGGACATCTGGCTCACATCCATGCCTGGATTTGATTTCTTGCACAAGATGACGTTGGCTTCCCAGTTCCTTAGATGGGAATGGAAATTGATGAAAGCATAAGTTTTGTTTAATTTTATGTCTGGAAACTGTCTAATTTTCAGACAACTTGCCTCAACCAGGGCATAGGTTATGATATAATGTCATAGCCTATGACATAAACGCCAAACTTGTAGGCAACTGTATTTAAATGAATCCCTCTAAGGAATGAAAGAATACATATGTTTTAAGTGTTGCACCATTGTACCAGGGTCGTTTTGTCCTTTTTGTTTGATCTGACTTTAACACACTCAAACCTGGGGAAGGGAAACATCATCACACTAAGTGTCTAAATCTCTAAGTGTTGTGCCTGAGTACTGTGTGGATCTCGCTGAGTACTGTGTGGATCTCGCTGAGTACTGTGTGGATCTCGCTGAGTACTCTGGATCTCGCTGAGTACTCTGTGGATCTCGGTGTTCTGCTCTCGTAGATCATTTACTGACATTAAAAAAAAATCATTTAAAAATCTGTTACTTGATTTGCCCATTTGAGAAAATAGCCTCAAATCCTGCCAGCTAAGTTCTTTACTGGAAGAATGGGGAACACATGCATGCACACACACACACACACACACACACACCCTGATGTATGTTCTTTGACCTTGTGACCTTTGCACACAGCACTCTTCTGCTTGACATCCTCGCCTTCTTAAGGTGGATCCCAACTTAACTTGTACTTCAGGTATTGCTACCAGTTAATGGGCAAAGCAAGCATTCATATGTCATATGTCCTTCAGAATATGACCTTATTTGGAAATAGGATTTTAAAACAAAAATAGAGGTAATCAAGTCAAAATGCATGTTATTAAGGTTGGCCCCTAATTTAAGATCACTGATGTCTTCCTAAGAGGGGAGCATTATGAGAGAGACACATGGGAAAATGCCATGTGTGAGTGGAGACAGATCGGGGTGCTGCATCTATGGGCCTAGAAACATCAGAAATGGCCATCAAGGCAGCCGTGGGAATTGACCAGGCATAGAACAGATTGGATTACAGCCCTCAGAAGGGCCCAGGCTCGTTCGCACTCAGAGCTTAGAATTCTGGTCTCTAGAACTTGAGACAATGAGTTTCTACTTAAGTCACCTGCTTTGTGGTATTTGTTATGGTGATCTCAGGAAACTAATTATGAGGGTTATACTTCCCTGACCCCTCCTCCAATCTTAGGTTAGATGGCGTGATGGTTTGTATATACTTGGTCCAGGGAGAGTGGGTGTGTCACTGTGGGTGTGGGCTTTAAGACCCTCACCCTAGCTGCCTAGAAGCCAGTATTCTGCTAGCAGCCTTCAGATGAAGATGTAGAACTTTCAGCTCCTCCGGCACCATGCCTGCCTGGATGCTGTCCTGTTCCTGCCTTGATAATGGACTAAACCTCTGAACCTGTAAGCCAGACCTAATTAAATGTTGTCTTTGTAAGAGTTGCCTTGGTCATGGTGTCTGTTCCCAGCAGTAAAACTCTAACTAAGACAGATGGAGTAGGTACTCTCTGATACATGCTCCTATGCACCTATGATTACTGAAGCTGTGAAATACCTCAGTCGCTCCAGGCTTAATCACCACCCAGCAATTTAACAAGTAGCTTACGAATACAACAGCTCAAACATGGAGAGAGGACAATGGTGCTGGATGTTTCCAATACAAGGTTGGGAAGTGTTTTCCAACAAGCTTTCCCTGACAAAAGTAGACTGTCTCCCTTGCTTTGACCCGTGTTTGACACTCCAAAGAAATGAAACTTCACTCTTGTATAATGATTAGCAGGCCCCAGTGATAAGGAAAAGACTGCTCAATAGGGTGGAGTGTTTAACTATGAAACAGCTGATGCTGTGACTGTTTTGTTTGGCCTGGGAGAAGAGTTTGGCCAAGTGCTTTGCCATAGAGACTTACAGGGACATAATTATTCTCGCACTCCACCTGTAAGTCCTTAAGTGCTCCCTCCTCTTTAGATAAGGCTCATGAACTGCCATCTGTGGGTGTTTGGCCCCTCCTCCCATTCATGTGTGCAGGTTCTTTGGATCATGAAGACATCTGTCATAAAAGGATCATAAATCTTCTAAAAAGAGACTCTGGATAGCTAACGTGCAACACATTTGTACTCGTCTCATGGAATAGCAAAGGAACCTGTTGAGATATACAGCATTAGCAGATTTCCAAACCACTGAAGGTACATCTAAGCAGACAGAACAGAAGTGAATGTTCAGTACCTGTATGTGAAATGCGTAGAAACGACAAATGAATCCTGAGTGACAGAAACCCACCAGAGGCTGACTGTGGTGACAGTGGGTTAAGAGCGTGTGTGGCCAGGAACCGTGATGAGGTTTGGGAGGTACAAGTAAACCATGGATGAGGGGTGTATTTGTTGCTCTGATTATGATAATGGCTTCAAGGGAGCTTGTACCAGCCCAAATGTAAACTGTATACTTCATATATGAAGAGTTCAGTATACGTGACTTCTATCTCAGTAAATCCGTGTGTGTGTGTAAGAATCAAACTCAGTGCATCAAGCGAGATTGGAAAACATTTTACCAGTGCACTACAGGATGGTCTTCAGTAGAGTGCTTCTTTCCTTCCTCTTCCTTCTCGCTCCTCCCCCCTCTCTTCCTTTCTCTTCCCTCCCCAGAGTTTTATACTTTAGAGCAGGTATCCAGGTTGGCCCAAAACTTCATAACCAAGGTTAGCCTTGAAGTCACCGCAATCCCCCATCTCAACCTCTCAGGTGCTGGGATTGTGGATGCAAACCACCATACTGTGCTCAGCTTTTGATGGCTCAGTGCCTAAGAGGACTGAATGTGCCTTCAGGGGATCTAGGTTTGATTCTCAGAATCCACAGGCAGACAAAGTACCCACTTAAATAAAAAAGTAAAGTAAAAAAAAAAAGTGGTACCTAAGTTGTAAGTGGATCTAGGAATCTTGACTCTCTGAATAAGGAATCTTAGGTTTTTGTGTAGAAAATCTAGTGTTCAAAGAGTGGCCTCCATCATCCCAGGAACATTTAGCACTTGCCACTGAAGAAACAAATCCCAACTCCTCAGAGAGGTTTATGCCAAAGATGGCAGGGAATGCACCCACACAGCTGGCCACATGAAAGGGCTCAGTATAGACACAAATGTGTCTAATCCACAGGTTTCTCTGCCCAGATGGCCAATGTGGTAGAATGTTCCAGTCCAAGTATGCTGCTCTAGTGCTGGCTGTGAACTCCTTACTTCAGGCTGAGCTCAAACACACAGACCATCCTGCTTTCAACACAGGCGGAAAGCATGCTCATAGCTCAAGAAGAGCCGTTTGCTTTGGGGAAAGATGAAACTTTAATGCACTTGGAATTGTGTTCCTCTCTCTGGTTAAGGACATACTGTACATGTCACTACGAGGAGAGAAGGTGGTAATTCAGCTGCCAGGGCTTCTGTCCTGACACATTTTATACCTGAGCATAAAGATGTCATTAAATCATTCTCCCCATCTTCCCTTGTTGGGGTTTTCCATGTGGATCCCCTTCGGTAAAATCCAGAGGAGGAAGATTCCGGTGAAACCCAGGAAAGAGAGCATTGCAGGGTGTCAGGACTTACCAGAGAGTCAGCTCAAACTCAGGGAGTGACGAGTAACTGGCCAGGTAGGTGCCACAGTAACTGAAGCAAAGTAGAGTATAGTCCAGGAGGATGTCGCCTAAAAGACAGAATCCAGGACACGGACTGGACTGTCACATCCAGATAAGTTCACAGCCTCACAGAATGCCCCCCTTTCCTAGTGCCTGACACACACCCCAAAAGTACTTTCCCAGGAAGTAATCGATCCCCTGATTCTTTAAGAGGTGTTTTTGTCTTGTTTTGTTACAAACAGGATCTCCCCATGTAGTTGAGGTTAGCTTTAAACTCATGCTTCCCTGCCTCTGCCTTGCAAATGCTAGGACTCTATCCTTCCTCCACTTACACCCATTCCTCTTGAGATTATTAGGTCACAGTCTTCAGACTTTGGTGCAGTACTGAGCAAAGTACACTAGCGTGTCCCAGCCTGATTTGAAATGAATGGCCCTGACATGTCTATAAATATGAGACATAGGGATTAGAACAGTTACTCAAACTTCAAGTGTTTCGGGAAGTACTAATAACTCTAGCTAATATATCAAATAGACATTATCAATAAGGATTTATAATCCTTAGCCCATGTCTGGCCCTCAACTTGGGTTTTTTCCCCAGTTCTTAGAACAGCTTTATTCACGTTAAAAGCCTTGACAATGAGATGTTTACACGGTGGGTCTTGGGGAGGCAAATGAGGGACAGAGCTGCTTTCCCCTTGGCATGTTCTTTAGTGAGGTGCACAGGCCCAAGCCTAGCCTTGGTATTTGTGCTTGTGTGCTTGCTCTGAATATTTTAACGACTGTTTCTGTTTTTACACATCTCGCCATGTGTGCCTGTGTGGGTGTGTGTATGTGTGTGCCTGTGTGTGTGTTAGACTGTATGCCACATGCTTGCAGGTACCTGCAGGGACCAGAGGAGGGTGTTAGATCTCCTTCAGCTGGAGTTAAAGGTGGCTGCCAACTTGTGGGTACTGGGATCAACTCATCCTCTGCGGAAGACCGTATGTGCTCCTAACTGCTGAACCATCTCTTCAGCCCTGTACGTTTTATGTTAGAGTGACCACAGTATGTATATGCCTAAAATGTGACTTTGTCATTGAATTTATTTAGCATGGACTAACAAAGAAAACAATATGCGTTTATTGAGAATGTGGTGCAAAAAAATAAAAAATAAATTTTCTGTGGGATGAGACTTTAATACAACTATTTCATATCCTTGAGACACTCTCCTTATCATCAACATTAATATTAAGTTCTAATTGTTATATAATGTTATATTATTATAAATTCAAAAATTTAAATATATGATTTTTGAAGGAAGTTTTTTAAAAGACCTAATTTCTAACATCAAATTTAGTAAATTTCTTCCTGCTCTTTTTTTAAAATTTCAGACAGAGCCTCCTAGACCCCAGGCTGGACTTGGATTCAGTAGGTAGCTGAGGATAGCCTTGACTCCAAATCCTCCTGCCTCTTCCTCCCCAGTGCTGGGCTTACAGGTGTGCACGACTATGCTCAGTCTCTTTCTATATATAACTTTGCTATTTATAGTTGTAATAAGTGTTGATTGAATATTAAATGCAATATGCATCATTTTAAATATACAGTTTAGATCACAGGAAATGTTCTAGCCTATTGGTTTCTTGTTTACATTACATGAAGTATTTCATCATGTTCTTGATAGTTTTTCAAATATTTGATTTATAATGATTTATAATAACCCTTCGTGTGTGTGTGTGTGTGTGTGTGTAACATACCACTTTCATATACCAGCGTTTTGGGCTGTTTTGTCTTTACAATTATGCAACTCCTTTTAACTCCTTTCTGTACACGGACTTATAACCATATTTCAGACCACTACACTTCCTTAACACTGACTTCTGATTCTTATAGTGGCCCCAGAAGGGCTCTGTCAGTGTATCGGCTTGCTGGATCCCACTGCTAGAGAGAGAGAGGTTATCAATTTCTCCACAGCTCCAAAACCACTGTGAGACTGACCAGGAGGAACAGCCCCTGGATTGAAACTACTAGAAACAATCACTGCAAATGATCGTCTATGGTACTGTCGTGTTTGCATCTGTGTGGGCGAGCATGTGCTTGTTGGAGGTATCCATGTCCAGTCGCTTTCTCTCCTTCCAGTTTTACATGGGTTCTGGAATTTGAAATCCAGCTTGGGAAGCAAGAACTTTTATCTGCCAAGCTATCTTGCCAGCTCTAAGCTTTTTCAAAAGCAATTATTGTCAGACAGTTTTAATAGAATTGACTGCTTATGGTTTGGGATCTGTCTGGGAAAGACCCTTGCCCTTCATTCATCTTTAAGGTTCATAAGTGCTGTGGGGATCTTTGATTATATTTTTTACATACATTTTCCTCATTCTATTTGCGTGCTATTTTTTTGTGATCTGGTGTTTGTAGTTTAACATTTGTTAGTAAATATACCGATCCTTAAAATAGGGTACTAAGGTTCTTCCCCAACCTGAAACAGCTATAGTATCCTCCCGTATTTCCTACTACTTTTCCATGAATGACTCTCAATATTAGAAATACATTTATTTATAACAATCATCTTTTCTATACTGGAATATGTCTCTACAGAATTATATATTTAAATATCACACACACACACACAAACACAGACACACACACACGCACACACACACACACACACACACGCACACACACACACACACACACACACGCACTGACTCATATAATTGAGTCTTAAGTTGGGAGCTGTCTGTGTGGACTGCAGCCACATGTCATGCCTAAGATGCCCTCAGCTTACCTTTGTGGTTCCATCCTTGGGCAAGCAATGAGAAGTTAATTCAAACTCATACATATGAGTTATGTTTACCCTACTTGCATGGGCGTTCATTCTGCAACCACTATCTATCATACTAACCATTTGTTACGAAGTCCTAGCAGATGACTGCATCACCTATAATGTTCTGTCCCACAGCTATACACTTTTGTTAAATAGTTTATTGTATATTTATTGTAATATATTGTAATATATTGTATATTGCATATTGTAATAAATACTGTATATTGTATATTATTGTATATTGGTTAGACCTCCTGGTTGATAATAAATGACACTGATTATAATAGACTTCCTTGATGATTTATTTCAGCTTTTTAAAAAAGATTTATTTTATTTATATGGGTGCACCGTAGCTGTCTTCGGACACACCAGAAAAGGGCATCAGATCCCATTACAGATGGTTGTGAACCACCATGTGGTTGCTGGGAATTGAACTCAGGGCCTCTGAAAGAGCAGCCAGTGCTCTTAACTACTGAGCCATCTCTCCAGCCCCTTTATTTCAGCTTTTTACTGTGAATTCTTCTAAGGATTTGTTATTCAATATGGATGTTGTCTACTGGTTTGAATTAACTTCCGATTGCTTGCCCAGGGCTAGAGCCATGAAGCGAAGCTAAGGGTATCTTTTTTTTTTTAAATATCTTATTTATTTATTTTATTTATATGAGTATACTGCAGCTGTCCTCAGACACACCAGAAGAGGGCATCAGATCCCATTACAGATGGTTGTGAGCTACCATGTGGTTGCTGGGAATTGAACTCAGAACCTCTGGAAGAGCAGTCAGTGCCCTTAACCACTGAGCTGTCTCCAGCTCTAAAACCCTCTCTCTCTCTCTCTCTCTCTCTCTCTCTCTCTCTCTCTCTCTCTTTCTTTCTTTCTGGTTTTTCGAGACAGGGTTTTTCTGTGTAGCCCTGGCTGTCCTGGAACTCACTCTGTAGACCAGGCTTGCCTCGAACTCAGAAATCTGCCTGCCTCTGCCTCCCAAGTGCTGGGATTAAAGGTGTGCGCCACCACTGCCCGGCTAAGCTGAGGGTATCTTAAACATGAAGCATGGTTGCAGTCCACACAGACAATTCCCAATTTAGGACTAGATTATGTTTTCAATAAGGCGTCTTAATCTTTGAAGAACACAGACCAGAAATAACTTGTAAACTACAGTGACGGAGCGGACTTGACCCAATGTGCTTCTGAGACTAAGGCATCACCAGGGATAAGCTTCCTGACTGTGCTGGGCATGTGGGCTATTAGTGTTAATTTTGTCTGAGGCAAAGTCTTGCTTTTAGTTCAGGGTGGTCTTAGAATCTGGATCCTTCTCCCTCATCTTCCCTAAATCTGGATTACAGGTGCATCTAATCACCACGCTCAGATTCAGTTTGTCTTAAATGGGAGCAGGAATCATTAGCTAGAGGCTTCTGGAGGGGTATAGCTACTCAGTCATGAAAGTTAGCTGTATGTGTGAAAGATTCAACAGTAATACAAATAATAGATAGCCATGGATGAGTGCTTGGTGTGTGTGTGTGTGTGTCGCTCGTCTAGTATCAACACAAAGTAAACATTACATGCTATGTTTAGCCCCATTTGTGGTTAAGAACAGGGAAGTTCAGACTTGCCTTTAGTTATTTGAGCATCAGTTTGTGTTAGAATTCCAATCCAATAAATCACCAGGAAAGAAGAAGAAACATTGTTGCAGAAGAGGCCAGTTCTCCAACCCTGTGTTTCTCATGGTTTAAAATGTGTCTCAATCACCTGAGAAATCTTGTACAAACTAAGGTGTTGGTTTGTTTGGTCTGGGCTGAAAGTCAATTTGTGTATTGAGGGAGTTCTTCTTCTTCTTTTAAAAAACTTGCCCAGGCTAGTTTCCAGCTCACCAGCTCAAGTGAGTCTCCCTTTTCAGCCTCTAAGGTTCAGGGTGTGTGCTACCACAATAGGATGATTCTGCCCTTTTAAGTAGTTTCTGAGGTAATGCCAGTGTTGACAGGAAGCACACCACAGGAAGGCTGTGGCATACGGGGTTAATAAACCTTTAGTGGTCAGTTTGATTGCTTCTGTTTAAAACAACCTTTCACAATACAAAACACCTTCATCCATAAGAACTAGATTTGTTCACATAAAAAAATTTTCAGTAGTCAGGTGGTGGTGGTGGTGCACCGCTTTAATCCCAGCACTCAAGAAGCAGAGGCAGGTAGATTTCCGAGTTCAAGACCAGCTTGGCCTGCAGTCAGTCCCAGGACACCCAAAACTACACAGAGAAACACTATTTTGAAAAACAAACAAAACAAAAATCCTTCAGTTCCGGGGGTGAAGGGGGTGGGGGCGTGGTAGGGGGAGGGTCTCCCAGATACCTTTTAACTTGTTTTTTCTGGTCAGTGAAGGAAAGCTGTATATGTAGATGATGGGTTTAAGTCTGCGGTCAGAGAAAGCCACGACTTCACCGGGAACATTAGTTGCCACGACGCCCACAATCCCATTAATACACTGGAGTACAGTCTTCTTCTTAGTTTCGAGGTTAATGAATATTACATAGTTCCCAGAAGGGTAGCAGATGGTCTGGTCATTGACAAAATGAACGTTCTGACTAGGGAATCCTTGCACCCATCTTTGAGAAAAGATAGATCACCATGAGTACAGCCTATGCTCGCTTCCTTTTCAACAAAGCAGCTAGAAAGCCATCCCAGTCTTTGAAACACAGCCCCTCCATTTTTAACGCCCTTTCAGTGGAAGACACGTGCTCGCCATGAGGCCAGTATGAGTCAATGGACTACAGAACTGGAAAGATCAGTAGGGCTGGCGAGATGGCTCACTAAGTAAAAAGGAGCTTGCAGAAAGCAATGTATCCAGGGCACTTTTCTTTTGACTTTAAAACAAACAAACAAACAAACAAAAAACTAAACTCAAAATAAAAAAAAATCAACTAAACAAATAAAAAGCCCTTCGAGTAGGACAGCAGGGTTGTAAGCCACGTGACTTGCTTATAGTTTACACACATGAAGAATATGTGGTTGTTTTAGACCTAAAAATCCACATCAACACGGGGAACAATAGAATACGAAATCCACGGGGACAGAGAGTTAGAACATAAGAAGTACATTTTAGCCGAAGATTGTGTGGTAGGTAGATGGTGGAAGGAAAATCTGAGGTAAGGAAAATTCTATTTTATTTGAATGTTAAAGATATGTTTGAAAATGGAGGACAGAGAGCGAAGAACACAGGTTTTCTGAGTCCCCCCCCGCCCCCACCCCATGAAATGGAAGCGCACAGCAGTGACAGAGGACGCTGAATTTGCAAGCAATCCTTCAGAACGTGGACGGACAGCGACTGTGCACATGAATCCGGAGTGAGAGGGAAGGAGTTAGAAGGATGAGACCACAGCTGGTGGGAATTGACCAAAGGGATGATGATGAAGAGGAGGGCTGAATGGGCTCCAGGAGCTCTGGGGCTGGGTACCGAGGCAGGAAGAGGATGCAGAAACAGGTGGGGGAGAAATACCCGGCAAACAAGTGAGGGTCCCTTAGGATAGCAGTGTGGTGAGGGGAAACTGAGAGCCGGTCGGTCATCTGGTCAGAAGACCGAGGGGTCGAGCAGAAGAGGGTGCACAGGGCGGGAGTGGGAGTTGGGGAGCGGTGGAGAGGCAGAGCGAGTTTGCTTGGAGGATCCGAGGGGTGGGGGTCCCGGCAGGGTTCCCCCTCTCCAGCCCCGTGCGGCCGCGATGCCGTACCTCACCGACAGGGAGGCTCCGGAGTAGTGGGCAGAGGCAGAGGCTGTGGCAGAGGCAGAGGTAGTGACTTCGTCGCGCTCCCGGACTTGCGACATGCCGACTCTCAGCCCACTCGGGGCTCGGCCGTTACTCCGTGGCCCTGCCGGGTCGGGCTAAGACGCCCGCGAAGACGCCACTGTTTACACCCGTATCCGGGAGACCGGGAACCCCGCGCCCATTGGCTGGCGGGCCCCGCCTATGGGCGAGCGGCAAGCGAAGCCGAGTGGTGGGACCTTTGGTTGTGGATACTGGAGTGGCTTCCCTTTGGCGAATAGTTACAGTATTAATAAACGTCAAGACAGCTATTAATTTTGCATGCTGCCCTGCCATGCTGCTTCTAGCTACACGCTGGAAATATTTCATTTACTTCCCTGCACCCGTTGAGCCTGCTCAGAACCCAGTGGACAGAAAGCCAAGTCAGAATCCAGTGTTAAGGGCACAATGACTGAATAACCAACCCTTCAGGTGTCTCCTCTGTTAGCTCAAGGAGGCAGACTGAGGTAATCTGGTGGATGAGGCCATGCTCTTCTCTCCTATCTCGTTGCCTCTCTCCTGTCTGATCCTGTTTCTTCCCTGGGTTTCCCTCTCCTTTCTCCAGTTCCTTCCTTCACACTTGGCAATGAAAATAATCTGTTGGGCTCTCCATTCCCTCCCCTCCCCCCCTCTCCACGTGCTCATGGTCGGCCTCTCTCCTCCTCCTCCTCCTCCTCCTCCTCCTCCTCCTCCTCCTC